GCCAACCCAACTGGATCAAACCAATGATCCCAAACCCCTTGGCCAACCCAACTGGATCATCCCGACGATCCCAAACCCCTTGGCCAACCCAACTGGATCATCCCGACGATCCCAAACCCCTTGGCCAACCCAACTGGATCATCCCGACGATCCCAACCCCCTTGGCCAACCCAACTGGATCATCCCAATGATCCCAACCCCCTTGGCCAACCCAACTGGATCATCCCAAAAATCCTGGATCCGTTGGAAAACCCAACTGGATCATCTTCCCAATGATCCCAAACCCCTTGGCCAACCCAACTGGATCATCCCGATGATCCCAAACCCCTTGGCCAACCCGACTGGATCATCCCGATGATCCCAAATCCCTTGGCCAACCCAACTGGATCATCCCGATGATCCCAAATCCCTTGGCCAACCCAACTGGATGATCCTGATGATCCCAAATCCCTTGGCCAACCCAACTGGATCATCCCAATAATCCTGGATCCACCGGAAAACCCAACTGGATGATCCCGATGGTCCCAAACCCCTTGGCCAACCCAACTGGATCATCTTTCCGATGATCCCAAACCCCTTGGCCAACCCAACTGGATCATCCCGATGATCCCAAATCCCTTGACCAACCCAACTGGATCATCCCGACGATCCCAAATCCCTTGGCCAACCCAACTGGATCATCCCGATGATCCCAACCCCCTTGGCCAACCCAACTGGATCATCTTCCCAATGATCCCAACCCCCTTGGCCAACCCAACTGGATCATCTTCCCAATGATCCCAAACCCCTTGGCCAACCCAACCAATGATCCCAACCCCCTTGGCCAACCCAACTGGATGATCCCGATGATCCCAAACCCCTTGGCCAACCCAACTGGATCATCCCGACGATCCCAAATCCCTTGGCCAACCCAACTGGATCATCCCGACGATCCCAAATCCCTTGGCCAACCCAAATGGATCATCCCAATAATCCTGGATCCACCGGAAAATCCAACTGGATGATCCCGATGATCCCAAATCCCTTGGCCAACCCAACTGGATGATCCCGATGATCCCAACCCCCTTGGCCAACCCAAGGGGCTCACGGCGTTCCCGGCGCTGGTTCCCAGGTGGCACCGGGTGTCCTGGTCGGTGTCGGGCGGTTCCGTCGCGCTGTCCCTGGATTGTCGCCGGCGCCTGACGCGGCCCCTCCCCCGCGGCCCCGCCCCCCTGGATTCCCGCGGGATCGTCGTCGTGGGAACGCGGCTCCTGGACCGGGAGGTTTTCCAGGTGATTCCCTCCCCAAAATTCCACTCCGGGAACCCCCAAATTCCCTCAGGATCCCCCAAATTCCCCCCAGGAATCCCCAAATCCCACCCAGGAACCCCCCAA